TCAAATGATTAAAATATTATTAACATAACTGAATGTTCATAATTTCAATGCCCATGATGGACTTACATAAACAACCACCTGGGAGCAAAAACCAAGGTAATCAAACACAACTAAGCCAACACTACTAACTACAACATAAACAAAAATAAACTACCAACCTCCAACTAACAGACCACCAAGCTAAATACCCACTAACAATCTGCATCAAATAAGAAAACAAAAGGCCTGCAGCAACACCACTGCTGTTTCTGTTTTGCTGTGTGAATATTTATGGTGTTTAGTGGTTGTCTAGGAAGTCTGAAAGCTCCACTTCTCCTAGAAAAAGCCCATGATTATCACATACGTATACAATTCTTTGTAGTACTTCCATTAGTGGGGAAAAGACTCCAAACTCCTTTGTTGGCTTCCTGATATATTGTGCAATAAGTGAGTCCACCTAACTAAGAAACAGGTCAGCATCCCCTGCTTTCCAAAACTTCAACCCGAGGACTCTTGCATTTCATAATTACTGTCTCCCTCGCTTTGCTTGTGTATTAGTCTTACCAGCTTATATTTATTGGAAGGCAAATGGTGTGAAACCACCCAAACATTCACACAGATCTTCTAATTCATGCGAAAAGCCATACAAAGTAAAAAAATTAATCAGGTAAGTTTTAAGAGAATAAATACCTTGTAACAAGGATTGCATAGAGAAAAGTAATAAGGTTGTGTATGAGACAAGCAGGCGGTTTTACAAAGACGAAGTTTTCCTGCAGATTAGGTACATCAAAGGAAGATAAGAAAATCAAGAAGATTAAGTACATTACATAAGACAAATTAACAATAAAATTATAAAAGCAGCAGGACATTCCTTCTTTATGTACAAGTACAACCATTTGTCTATAAGTATAAGCCAAAAATCTCCCATTTCCCCAAAAGTCAACATCAATACTTCTGACTAAACANTTCAAACGATAGAATTACTCATAAACCGAAAACCAAGGAAAACAAAGTTCGAATACAAGCCGGGCAATGGGAGCACCACTCGAGGTGGGCTAGATAACCGCAACTAACACTACTCAAATACAAACCAAACATGGACAAAGCGGTCTAACAAAAACCGAGCCTTTGCCATGAGCTGGACAAGAAAAGACCAAACAAGAAAAGCAACCAAACAAACACAAACTCTCAGGACAACAAAAACAAACAAAAGACTAAGAAAGACAAACAACAACAGTCCAAACCCAAACGATACAGCTAAAGCAAAACAAAACGAACATCAACAGCGCAAGGAAACCGGACCAGTCCTGCTAGCCAAGAACCCAAGCCACTGTTGCATGGCCACCTTAACCACTGCTGGAGCAGGTCTTCTAATGCCCTCGAACAACCAAATATTACGAGACTTCCAAGGCCACCAAAGAATATAAGTGGACAATTGGATACGATCTTCGGAAGTCTCACTATGATCAATCTGAAGGATCTGCCACCACCACGATTTAAAAGAATCCCTTGGACCAGGTCCAACCCAACTCACAGGGGAGTGCTTCCAAATATCCATAGCATACCTGCAGTGAAAAAGCACATGCTCAATGGATTCAGGACTCTCTCCACATTGCGGGCAGAGCACATCAACTAGCATGCCTCTTTGCTGCAGTTGCTCCCTAACAGGTAAAGCTCCATTACAACATCTCCAGATGAAATGTTTGACTCTGCCCATCACTTTAAGTTTCCAGCTCCTTTCTCTGATTTTGAGATCAAGAACCTGGGCAGTGCTACTCTGTGGCTGGCATAGCTTCAAGAACTTAGCTTTGATAAGGTGGGCATAGGTGGATTTGACAGTGAATAACCCCTTGCTGTGCAGATTCCAGGTCCACCTATCATCTTTAGAAGGATCAATGGTGTCAATGGCTAGAACTGCTGTGCTCCAATCATCAGGAAAAGTGGCTGTGACTTTGCTAGTGTCCCAGCTATGTCCATCAGCACTCATCAAATCTCTGACCCATTTGAAATTTCTATTGATCCCAGGAAGCAAATCAACTTGCTGCCCCAGTTTGGAGGGGATCCAGTGCCTATCCCAGATGAGGGTGCTACAACCATTGTTTATCCAGTCTGCATCCACTTAGAACACATAATCAGAATTTTTGACCAGTTATGCCAAATCCAAGAAGAATTTTGCTTACTGGGGGCATCAAACAGAGAGGAGTTAGGGAAGTATAGGGACTTAAGCACTTTACTGACCAAAGTGTTTGGCTCAGAGACAAGTCTCCACAGTTGCTTAGCAATAAGAGCAGTATTAAACAGCTGGATGTCCTGAAAACCTAACCCACCATGCTTTTTAGAAAGAGTGATAGTATCCCAATTAACCCAGTGCAAACCTCTTTGAAAATCAGTGCCTTTGCTCCACCAAAAGTTGCAACAAATTTGGGCAATCTCTTTACAAATTCCCACAGGAAGAATGAAAGAGGACATGGCAAAAACAGGAAGGGCATTAAGAACAGATTTTATAAGTACCTCCTTCCCAGCCGAGGACAGCCACTTATTCTTCCAGCTGAAAATCCTTTTTTTGACAACATCCAAAATGAATTGAAAAGCTTCTTTCTTTGTTTTCCCAATCCCCAGAGGGAGACCCAAATATCTGGTAGAAGAATGCCTTTGAATACCAGAGAGAAGAGAGCAAATACTTGTCTGAGTTGAGGCAAATGTGTTTTTGCTGAAGAAAATGGTGGATTTCTCCCAGTTCACTTTCTGCCCAGTGAAGTTGCTGAAAACTCTGAGGATATGAAGCAGCCTCCTAGCATGGGACAGGTCAGCTTTACAGAAAATGAGGGTGTCATCAGCAAACATTAAGTGAGTCAACATTGGGCCATCTCTAGATAACTTGATCCCTTTGAACCTACCCTCAGCAGCCTCCCATGAGAGTCTAGATGAAAGCATTTCTGAAATGATTAAGAAAAGGTAAGGGGAGAGAGGATCCCCTTGCCTGATTCCTCTTGATGCAGTGATGAGACCACAGCTCCTTCCATTGATATTGAAAGAGAAAGATGGGTTAGAAATACAGGCCAAGACCCAGTGTACAAAAATCCTGTGGAACCCCATTTTAATCATAGCCAGCTGTAAAGCTTTCCATTCAACACAGTCAAAGGCTTTAGCCACATCAAGTTTAAGAGCCATAAAACAATTATTCCCAGTTCTGTGCCTATTTAAAAAATGGAACACCTCTTGCCCAATCACAACATTATCTATCAACTGCCTACCAGGGATAAAGGCATTTTGGTTCTCAGAGATACAAACATTCAAACAGTGCTTCAATCTAACAGATAGAATCTTAGAGATTACTTTGTAAATAACAGCACAAAGACTAATGGGCCTGAATTGGGATATAGACACAGGATTAGCACATTTGGGAATGAGAGTAATAAGAGTGTGCTTCCAATACTTCAGCATTTGTTTAGACTCAAAAAAACTTTGAACAGCTATACAAATATCTTTGCTAAGAATGGGCCAAAAATGTTGGTAGAAAAGACCTGTCATGCCATCCTCCCCAGGGGCTTTTTCAGGGTTTATGCTAAAAACTGCCTGCTTTATGGTTTCTTCATCCACAGTAGCAGTGAGCATGGAATTCATCTCACCAGTGATGGTAGTGGGGAGAGACGGCAGGAATTCATGACCATCCTTGGAGCCTTGGGAAGTGAACAGCTTGCTATAATAGGTGGAGATTATTTGCTCTATCTCTTCAGGCTTTTCTGTCAACTTGTTTTGCTCATTCAATAATCTCTGGATGGAGTTAATCTTCCTTCTTTGCATCACAAAGGAATGAAAAAATTTTGTATTGCTGTCCCTTGCCTTAAACCAAAGAGCCCTTAATTTCTGCTGCCAGAACAGCTCCTCAGAGATATTAGCTTCATCTAGCTCTTTTTGAAGTCTAGCCCAGAGATCCCAGTTTCTGCTTCCTCCAGCTTTCCTTAAGTCCTCAAGCTGCAGAGTCAGCCTTCTGATTTGAGCAGCACTATTGGAATTGAAGTATTTATTCCAGTGGATGAGAGCTGCTCTTGTTCTTCTAACTTTCTCCTTCAAGACAAAGAGAGGAGTACCTTCAGCAGATTGACCCCATACCTTCTGCACCAGTTGATTGATCCCCTCTTTCTGCAATAATCTTTTGTCAAAACAGAATCTCCTTCTATGCTTGAGATCATCTGTCCCTGTATTGATGACAAGCATACAATGATCTGAGGCACTTCTGAACCAGCTGAGAACTTCAGTGTTAGGGAATTTCTGTTGCCACCCAAAAGAAACAAACATTCTGTCTAGAATCTCCTCAACAAAACCTTCTCCAGCCCTGTTGTTGGCCCAGGTGAATGTCATGCCTTTAGTTGGGATTTCAAGCACTCCCATGTGAGCCAAGAAAGTATTAAAACCCCACAGACTACTAATCGGTCTGCTGATTCCTCCCCTTTTATCTTCAACCTTGCAAACATCATTCAGTCTCCTGCCATAAACCAATCCTGCCCCCACTTGGATTTTTCTTGAAAAAGGTACTCCCACTGACTAGCTCTTTCTGATTTAATGGTGCTGAGGTAAACAAAGACAGCCCAGCAAATCCTCCCCAGAGCACTGTCTTTAAATTGGACAGCCACAAAAAACTGGTCACCGTAGCATTGCAAAATAGCAATATCAGAATTCCAGAGAAGAATAAGACCACCCTTAGTACCAACCGGCTCAACAAGAAAATGACTGTTAGCATATCCCAACTTAGAAATAACTTGCATAATAAAACTTCTGGATTTTTTAAGTTCTGAAAGAAAAAGAAAAGAGGGGTGATGGAGCTGCAAAGCTTCCTTGATCTGGGGAACTGTAGAGGGCCCACCCAGACCTCTACAATTCCACACCAGAACCCTCATTTAGAACTTGAGGGCTTAAGGTTGGCCCTCTGCACCTTTTGGATTACCAGCTTAGCTTTTTTGGGGTCTGCCTCCACAATGCTATCTTGAGTGAAGTCATCAGGATCAGATGTATTAGACTTTCTCCTTCTCTTGGTAGGTACCTGCTTGATTCCAGAAGAGTCAAGGTCAACCCTTCTAATGAGTCTTCCTTCAGCTTGGGTAGCTCTTTTCCAGGTTTTAGCAGTACCCTCAGAAATATTAATCCCCTTAGTTAAGGAGGTTTCCTTCCAGTGCTACTACCGTGTGCCCTGGCACACTTAGCAAGGTGTGCCAGGGCAATTTAAAATGAACATGTTATGTTACAAAATGAACATGTGCAAATATGATTTGCACATGTTCATTTTGTAACATAACATGTTCATTTATGGCACACCTTGCTAGGTGTGCTAAGTATTTGCGGTTTCCTTCAAGCTGCAAATGCAAAAGGCAGAATAGAAATTGGTCAACCGACTCCGTTATAACAAAGTAAAATTATATAGTTCATAGAAGTACACTCACTTGATCCCAGGCAGAAGATGGCATCGACAAATACAGAGAAAGAACAATGCAACCAGGCCTAATGTAGCTTTCCATTTCTGACGGGCTGTTAGAGAGCCAGTTGTATAACTGGAAATCAAAGGCAGTAGGATCAAGCTGTAGATGTTAGCCAAGCAAAGTGATTGAGAAAGTGAATCCAAAGAAAAGCACAAACCTGAGTTCTTAGTGACCCCGGGAAATGGCTTGGATCAAATTTCAAAGCCCAAACACCGCAGTCAACGAAATCGACCCTCCTCTGGTCCCCGAAAAACTTCATCTGCAAATCAGTCGAAAACCTAGCCCTAAATTTCCTCCCCACTTTCCAAAATCCTTCACCCCGGCCCAATTCATCCTCATCGTACTCCTCCTCGCCATCAATTTTCAGCATCTTGATGAAGCCATACGAGCTCAGCTTCTCCGACACCACCCACTTCGCTTTGGGGGTGTTCCCTCCGATATGGAGGTAGAGCTTCACGGCGTTCTCGAGGCCGGCGTTAGGTTTTCGAGAGGCGGTGGCGGGGCTTTTCTGGTATTTCAATTTCAAAGCCAGCAGCCTCTAACCGCCCATGGTAGTGGCGCAATGGCGAGAGAGAGAGATGGGAATAGAGAGAGGCGAAATCTTTTTAATTTTTTTTTATGATTTCAGTGTAAAATAAATGAATAATAATAAGAATAGTGTATATATATATATGAGGAGTGATTTGAAAAGAGAAATTAAAATTAAAGAGTGAATTTTATGTAGGGAACTGACAAGGAAGATGAAAAAGGAAGGAGGGATTTAACTTGAATTTACCAATAAATGGGCTATTGGAAAACTTTATTAAGAAATAAAAAGAAAGAGTGCGGCCCTATTACGCTAGATCAATTTTCTCGACTTTTGGAAGATCTTAAAAAAATCCGAAATACCAAATTCATGTTCGAATGCAATCAATATAGATGAATCCTTCAAGTACGCTTCCACTATTCGATTTGATTTTTAATTATTCGATATGAATGTTCTCGAATAATATGGTTTTAGCATAAAGGATTCATGTTATATATTCTTTCTATCAATAAATAAAATTTTATATAATAAAGTTCATCTAATATTTGAATGATAAGCTAATTTGTTGATAATACGTTCTTGTGCAAGGTAAGGGTAAATAACATAGAATTTGAAGTATCTGGTTTATGTTATCTATATATATATATAATTGTTGGCTAATAGCATTTAATAAAACATTTAATAAAAATCATCTCGATTTCTCTCCAAAAAACGTTACAAACTTTATCATTTATATCTCTCTCTATATTTAATTACCAACAATAAATTTAACAATATTAATTATTGTTTACCATCTTTTTATATTACAATCTTCTATATTATTATTATTAATCCATCATATCTAATTAATCCTAATATTTTATTGCACTTTTTTTATAATTAATTAAGATAAAAATAGTTACATTTTATATTAATGGAGTAGTAATTATATTATTTTATTATATCATATAATAGGTATTATTAAAACTAATAACTACAGTTTACACTAAATGATATATGAAAATTACATAAACATAAAAAATATTGTAAACTTTTTGCTAAAGTTATTTATTCTAAAATTAATATTATAACTTTTTATCTTATTTAGCGGTTGTATTTTTAAATAAGTTAATTTATTTTAATGTTAGTAAAATTCCTTAAAATCTCATAATCAAATGTTATAATAAATTTAATATTTTTTAAGCTAATAAATTGGTGATCTCTCAAAATTACATTATTTTTTATATTTTATGTAATTAATATAGTGGTTCATATGCAATCAAATAGTTATGTACTATTTATTTTAACCAATGAACAAATTTTAAAATATAATATCATTATCTAATTTATATTTTTATTATTATATGCATAAATATAACTTATAATACTCTATGTTTAAAATATAATATCATTGTATAACTTATAATTTTAATACTATATGCATAAATATAACTTATAATATTCTATTTCCATTGTGCAAATTCACAAGGTCGAATACTGGTTCTTTTAATTGTAGTGATCATTTTATTGATATCCATTCGCGATTCCTAACAACTTTTGTTAAATTTTAAGAATCCTAGTGTATTAGTGTTGACAAGTAGTAAATTTTCATTCATAAGATTTTCAAAGATTCCTCTTAAGTTTAAAATGAGTTCAAAATTTTAAAATATTTTTTACTAAATATTACTCAAAATTCCAAAGAATTACAATCCCTGTATTAAATACTTTTGAATTAAATACTTTTAAATTATTTACACGGGGACAAGCCATATGTATATATATATATACCACTTACAAATGTAAACTAGCTTGTACAAACATGTGATGCCACTCATCCCGCACATGGCACATTCCCATCTTTATAGTTTATACAGAGCAGCTAGCTACCACATTCAAGAACCCACAAATTAAATGGCTCAATCAAATAAACCAAAAAAAAAATACAGTACATATAAGCATAATAAATATAAATTAATAAATAAATCAGCAAACCAGTAACTAATAATAATTAAAAAATAAAAAATAAAAACAGTTGGATTATCAAATCATCTGGTGATGTTGTTTGACCCTCCACACGGATCTTGCTCGAACGATCTCTGCTTGATCAGCTTCCATTCGCAGCAAATGTGTGCATTCTAAATCATTATTCTCACTAATTTCCCCTTGTTCTGTTTTTGGTTTCATGCTTGTTAGAGACTCTAGCACATTGGATTGACGGCATTCACGCCGATACTCTAATGTCATTCTTGTCATGTTATAATCTTCCAGGACTTTTATTGGTACACTCTGCGTATTAACATATATTCATAAAGTTTGAGATTTAGAATTGATGATGAGGAGTTTAATTTAATTAACAGTAACAGTGAGTGCATTAATTAATTACCTCCAAAAGCCATCCGATATATTTGACGTTGTTGACATGTTGGTTTGCGTCCATATCACTCCACCGAGGCTACATCATACATGTCATATTCTTTATTTATTTATTTATTTATATTTTGCATATTACAAAACATTATTGAGCTAAAAATGCAAATGTGCAAACTTACAGCCAGTCCAGTTTGGATCATCTCAGCAGTATCGTCAGTAAGCTTTTCAATCTTGTCAGTGTCGGCTTTTTCAGTCGAAATTGCTGCTCGATTTAGGTAAAATGGGTGTACCTCCTTTTTCACCTCGTCCGGGATTTTACTTAACCTCCTAGTTTCTCTATTCATCATCACCCAAGTACTGGTTGCTCGTGTTATGATTTTTCGAGAGTTTAGGTCGCGAATGATCCAATCTCGACGCATCCCGTTTTTACCAGCTGCATCCACCCATGTATCTATCTCCACAACATCTCCCCTGTCAAACAAACAAATTTTTCTTAAAAAGGAGTAAATTGCAATTTTAATCATGTATGTTTCGCTACCCTAATTTTTTGTCCTATTCAAATTGCGTTTTTTGATTTTCGTCTCGTATGTTTGCAAAAATGTGACAAAAAGATCATTTTCATACATGATGGACGAAATTGAAACTTTTTTTCGTACAACATAAAGGACCTAATTTTATTGCGAACCCCCAACTTGTATATAAAAAAAGACCCTAAATGAGCTGAAAAGTCACAAATCTAAAGTCCAATGTCCAACAAACAACAATCCAAATAATCGAGAACAACAAAAAAAAACAACAAAAAGAAAGAGACAACGGCAGCAAATAACATCAAAATATCTGATCCTGGTCCGAAAGAAGTCCATGCGAAAAGATAGCATCACAAGGGAGTAGAGGTACCAAACATATGAGAAGCACATTTTTGTAACTTTTTTACAAACATACGAGATTTAAATAAAAAAACGCAATTCGAAGAAGACGAAAAAGTTGGAGTAGTAAAACATACCAGACTAAAATTACAATTTACTCCGTAAAAAGCAAGGGAAGGAATTAATTGGGAAACATAAATACCATGAGCTATATTTCTCAACTTGGACGTGTATACGGGTTACGACCCAAATAAGTTTACGTAAGCTCATCTCGATAGTTGCCCCAAACCCATTTCCGGCCACTCCTGCACTCCGCACATGATTCNAAAAAAAAAAAAAAGGAAAAAAATGTTTCATTTCAAATTGCTCTATATACATGTCAACATAAAATTCAGCTGTTACATTTTTTGTTTTTTTTCATATTATTTCAAGTGTTGTAAGCAATTTACAAACCTGGAGAAGATTCATTAGAGTTTCCATTGTAGCAGTCTTGTCAGGCCCAATCTCATAAGACCTAATAACAAAGGATTGTCTGAACACGAACCGTTTCTCCACGAACCTGCCTACCAAATATTCGTGACTCAACTCGTCTTCTCCCAACAAATTAATATTGGACCTTTTGTCCAAAATCGGGATTTTGCCGCTCACTCTCTTGCCGTTAACCTTCTCCATATCCGTGTTTATGTTTGCCTTCATCTTCACGCACATTCTCTTTCCCCTGCCATGAAAGAAGCCGCCGCGTGTAATAAGGCTCAGGCCTGTAAAATACTTGTTTTGTGCACAGTACATGCCATTTTGCTTCATCAAAGCCATGATAATGAGCTTTCTCTATTCAATGGTTTTTCAGATATTAAATATGTTGTTAAAATTAAGAAAAGGTTATATTAATTGTTGGCTGGCAAGCTAGATAGCCATTTTTGAGCATTAATAGGTGATCTACTTTGTTTGAAACACTGAAAATGGTAATGTCAAATTCAAAGTTGGGAAGAAAGCTAGAAAAATGTATTTATCCAAACTAGTGAAATCATTTATTTAATTATTGTAAACAAAGGGATGTGAATTTGCTGTTGAACCACTTTTTGTGGGTAGGGAAGAAATATGAAGGCCTCATGACCATTATTGGCTTACATGGAAAGGTAGGGAGTTTTGTGCGGTGCAGTTTCTGTTTTGCACGCATCACTTACTGTTCTAGTGGATACAAATGTTGTCCAATATTTATTGGTGAGTTATGTATAGTAAAGCTAATACAGGTGATGGTGATTAATGATTATTGGTGAGTTATTTATAGTAAAATTAAATGTTTATCTATAACTATAATTGTAATATATACTAGTGCAGTGCATCTCAAGCTTGTGAGATGCACGAGTTGGGCAATTTACCCAGTCTTATTATTATATTCGCGAATAAAAAAAATTAAATAATTAGAATAAAAAATTAATATTATATATTATTAAAAGTCATTTTGTAACAACATTTTTTGCCCTGTAGGCACACCATCCTCCCTGCGAACTAATATTTTCAATCTATTTCTATTAGTGACACGAGAAACGGATACATACAACTGATCACCGTTACTGAACATCAGTTTCTTAAAAAACATGTTAACATTTGATAAAGACTGGCCCTGACTTTTGTTAATCCAATCGCGAATCTCGTGAACACCATGACCAGCAATTAGCTCGGTAATGATTTTCAAAGTAGCTAATTGGTTATTAACTGAAATATTGACACATATTTAAATATACACGTGTTTGTTAAATATAAAAATAGATATATAAATAGAATTATAATATAAATTAAAAAAATAAAAGTTAATTAACATCACGTTAAATTATAAATGTATTTGCTAAATGTTAAAATATGTATTTTAAATATATTTATATTATATTTAACAAAAAAATAAATATACTATAAACTACTAATTTAACAAAAATACCTCCCTATGATTTTGTTTGGCAAAGATGAACAATGAACAAATGTGGATCGGATGAGGATCATTGCCATATTTATTTATAATTTCCAAAAGCTGATAAACGAAATCACCTCATGCAAATGTGGATGACGATCTTGTATGTGATATGAGCATCCTTAAGAAATGTCAGCCCCAGATGAGTTATATATAATCCTGTAGAAATTTATGAAGTTTAAGCATGTTAGAGCATGTTTTACTGTGTTGTTTGCTTTGATATTTGGCCAGCCTATTGACATGCGTTTGAACTGAAAATTTTACTACTGTTTCTTGAGTATGATGGAGGTAATACTGTTCAGTTTCAGCCCAATGTGAGTTATGTAGCATTCTATGAAAAATCTTGAAGTTAAAGGTGCATTTTCGTGAGTTTTGGCTAATTTTGATCAAGTATCATTGAGCCTCTGATCCCAGTGCTTATTACTGAGTTTAAGTTGAGTATTGAGGAGTATAAGTCCAGCCTGGTTCAGTCTTAAGGGCATGATCAAGTTAGAAGAAGATAGCATGTTTATTTGTTGTGTAATTGTCTTGTTTTTCTTGTGATGTTTAATTGCTATGTCTTTGAACTTTGTTGCTGAATTTTGATGTATCTTTATGCTGTGTTATTAGGTTGTTTATTTGTTGTTTTGTTTGACTTTGGTTTGGTTTGTGAGCAAAAGAAAAGAGTGAACTGAGCTGTGGTCGGGTCGACCCTAAGTGGTTCAGCAAGTGAACCGGGTTTGACCGGGCATGGACCGGCTGGTTTGAGACAGTCCAGAAAATCCAGTTTAGTGTTCCGAGCATAAGTTAGGTGCAGTTTAGCCGAGTAGTCAGCAGCAACTTAATTTGTTAAAATTATCTCTCTTAATTATCTCCTTATGTGAAATTAAATGTCTTTGCCTGTCTTGTTTGCTTATTGGTCGTCAGCAGTCAGTAGCAGCCAACAGTCAGTAAATCAGCAGAACAACAGTTAGCAGTTGGGAAGCAAGTTTCCATAAGCCCTTAAGTTAGCTAACTTAAGTTGAGATCAGAAGAGAAAAACATTTTTTTTAGTAAAGTTAAGAGCTAGTAGAAGAGATAGAAAATGTATGTGCTTTATTTGTTTTTAATTGTCTTAATTAACTTGTTTGACTTATTTGTCTTATGTGTTGTTGCCACCTTGAATAATAAGATAAAAATTATTTAAATTGTAGATTAAAGAGGAGTCGAGTCCTCATCCAGACGCATATTCATTCATTCTAGCAGTTCAGTCAGTCAGTAAGCAGTCCAGGTGAGGATTTTCCATGCTATGTTCTAATTCTTATTAATCGCAAGGTATTTTATGATTGATGTATATTTATGAGTTTTTTCCTGAGAGTGGGCATTGCCTAAGCGTAGGCATCAGATCTCCTGTTGTCGAGCGAGTAGTGTCCCGTGTATCCGATGGTAAAAGTGTGCACATGAGATAGTCGTCCGTTGTCGAGCGGGTAGCGCCCCGTGTATCCAGCGGATGACCCAGCAGTTGAGACCAGTTTATTCATTTATATGCTGAGATTATCTATACCTGTTATTATCACGAATAATTGCATAGTATGAATTATTGATGGTTACGTTGATTTTGCTCAGTCTCCACAATTATCTTTTTCAGGTTAGCAGCTGGTGCAGGAGTCAAGGGGCAAGTGGTGGTCATATTATTATGCATTTATTTTTGCTTCCGTAGTGAACAGTTTTTATTATTCCGAACATATTATTTCGGAAAAAAAAAATTTGTTCAGTATTTCAATTCAGATTATAGACTAGTATTCCTACGCTCTACTATGTCTAAAATCAGTTGGTCAGTTAGTAAGTTTCGGGAGCCGGATGCCCTGAAAACTTAAAGAACAGTAAAGTTTAGTAAACAGCAGTAATATTTAGTAAGTACCCTAAAAACAGTAAGCAACAGTAATATTTAATAAGTACCCTAAAAACAATTTTAAAAAGTTAAATCATTTTTTAAAATAGTTCGAAATTATTTCAAAACGCAGACGTTTTCAAAGTATAAGTACAGTCCTGACAAAAAGTCATATATATTTAAGCATACACTTGGATATCTATGTAGATCCGGTTCAGGAGGGACCGGCCTTTTAACATGTAATCCCCTCATTTTTTTTCTTCATTAGGAGTACCGCTGCGTGATTAATGTCATTAAATAACTTTGCGAATCTCCTAAATTCAACACCTAGGTAATCTCATAATTATTTACTTCATTTGGGTTCACAAACCCCGTGCCACGGGTCACCGACTTTGTGCGTCGAAAACTGCAACACGTGGCTTGGGTTTGGAGGAAAGCACAAAAGCACCTACGCAGATTGCTCTTAATAAACAAATCAAACTAAATTATTATTATTAATAATATTAAATTAGAACAAAATTACTATTCTTTAATAAAACTTGTTCTATATTATATGAAAATGTAAAGAAAGCGTGAAATTGATAAGTACTGATCTGGGCGGTGCTAAACTTGTTTTGCCACGTTTAACCCGAATCTGATGCCGTCTCGCCACGTGTCCTTTCCTTCATTCCTTCCTTTCAAATAAACAAATAATAAAATAAAAAATAATTATAACACTAAAATAATAATGCACTTGTCCTGAACCCGTATTATAAAGTAGCAAGAACAGCACTAAACGTGTTTCAATACAAATTATCAATTAAAACTGCCGTTTAGTTTTCTTCATCTCTCATATTCGTCGGCTTTAACTGTATCAACAGTTACAAGGAATGGGTCGTTTCTGGACTTTGCTCTCTACACTTCACACCATGGCCGGGTAACTTTAATTTCTACAGCAAGTTATTAATCTTACAAAAATAATAATAATTAGTTTATTATTTAATTTTTCACGAAATAGTAATTGCGTTTAATTAATTTTACTTTTATTTGCAGGCCAGGGGTTATGCTTCTCTACCCGCTGTGAGTGAAACAACAAAGAAAATAATCCATTGGCTGGTTTTCAATCGAGATGGGAAATTTAATTTGATTATTCAATTAAATATAAATATGAAATGAATTTTTTCAGGTATGCATCAGTGGTGGCAATAGAAAGCACTTCGAAATTAGATGATGAACAGTGGCTCGCTTATTGGATTTTGTACTCATTTCTTACTCTCATGGAGATGCTGCTTCAGCCTATCTTGGAATGGTAATTACTACATACAAATATGATTTTTATTTTATTATTAAAAAAAAATGGATCAAATGTAATTTTGGGGAAAATTTATGATAATTTATTTGGGTGAATTACAGGGTGCCCATATGGTACGATCTGAAGCTAGTGTTTGTGGCGTGGTTGGTTTTGCCACAATTTAGAGGGGCTGCCTTTATTTATGAGAAATTTGTTAGAGAAAAACTGATAAAAAGGTACGGAGGAGCACATTTCCAAAAGTCCCCCAATGGGAAGGGCAAGAACAAATTCGTCGATTTTGTCTCTGCCAAGAAGGTATGAAAAA